TGGTCAAATCATTCAAGTGAATGAATTCGAGAGAAGGGGCGATTAGCATATGAGTTCGCATTGAACAGAACCTTCCTATCACGATGATTGATGACCCTATTGGTAAGGTAGATGTATTTGGTGATATATGAACTACAAGAATGTGGCCTACCACCTACTGCAAACAAGAAAAAGCGTGTATATATCCATCTTTCCAAGCGAAAAATGGAAAAGAAAAATGAAATTCAAAGCGAGTAATAAACACGTTTCGGCTCTCTTCCGAGTCTGTCTTTTCTTTTTACTTATGTAAATCGTTCGACCGTCCCCCAAAGCCACGGCTCAAGAAGCCGCGTATTTTTCACGGTGATTGCTCTTTCCAACGAGACAACTCGTACTTTAATTAGAATATTCTCTTGCAAATGATATAACGATAACCACAAGAAAATATTTCGTTCATTATATATATATAATTTGTAAAAGCATTCTGTGGATGAGTACATTTTGAAACGCTCGTTGCGCGCATTCGATGAAGAAGGAACTTTGATTTTGGAAAATTCGATGCATTGAAAATCGTGAAGTTGATTAGCCTTCGACCGTTTTATTTGTTGTATTGTTTGGTGAATTTCGTGGAAGCCCCGGCGTTAAAAACCAAAAGAGGAGCGACGTGGTTTGAATGACTTCCGAATTTCGTGGAGCCCACTTACAATTAATGTCTCCCTGTCCCACCAAGTCATGAGAGTCAGTAAGAAGACACCGAGATTGGTCATCTGTCGTTTTCCATCTTCTTCTTCTTCTTCTTTTGTTTTGTTTCCAAATATAAATTCCTTTCTTCTTTTAATCAGGGGGATAATATCACGAAAATCTCAAATTGATGCGCATGTCATAAATTTATCACAAATTAATTTTTTGATCATAAAAAACTCTAAACTAATATACATGTGATAAGTTCATCAAAAACTAATTTTTTATCGCAAAAAATCCCGAACTGGTACATTTGTGACAAATTTACCCTTCATCAAATTGAATCAATACAAAAAAAAATCGTAAACTAGTACACATGGGACAAACGGAAGGTAAAACCTCAAACTGATACATTCGTCGACTGCCATGTGTGTCATTTAATTAAGCAATTCGATAATAAAATTTAATGAAAACTAACAAAAGGTAAATTTGTCACGGATGTATTAGTTGAAGGTTTTCCGTGGTAATAACCCTTTGATTGATATGAATTCAGCACCGATTTAGTCCTTTTAACTTTGACTTTTGTGGAATCAAGCCCATTAACTTGTCGAATCTACACAATTTGATCTTCTAAGTTTTGTTTCGGTGCTTTGTTCGCCCCACTGCGTATAATAAATCAATCCTTTCTTTTTTGCATTTTGTCCCATATGTTTTCAGCTCATTCGACTGTCGAATCAATATCACGTGCTGTCTTCTGTCACACAAGCAGTGTCGACAGAAGGATCGAGAAAAGTGATAAGAGCCGATCGCAACGGCGCAAAATTTAAAGAGAGCTAAATCGCACGAATCCAAGAAAGACACGATTGGACAAGACAAAAAGTTAAAGGACCGTGTCGGGCAAAACACTCCAAACTTTTTGCCCATTGCTTAATCGTTAATGGGGTGTGCACAGTGATACCCATCGACTCTTTTCTTATTTTTATAAAAGTTATTGGAAAAAGGATAATGACACAAATAGTCCTTGAACTTTGATTTAATGTGCAATTTGGTCCATGAACTTTTAATTTGTTCAATGTAGTCCCTGAACTTTAACATAATGTTCAATTTGGTCCCTGAACTTTTAATTTGTTCAATGTGGTCCCTAAACTTTTAATATGTGTTCAATTTAGTCCCTGAACTATATGAAAATGTTCAATATAGTCCCTGCACTTGAATTAATGGAAGGACTATATTGAACATTTTCAAATAGTTCAAGGACTAAATTGAACACATATTAAAAGTTCAGGGACCACATTGAACAAATCAAAAGTTCAGGGACCAAATTGAACATTAGGTTAAAGTTCAGGGACTACATTGAACAAATTAAAAGTTCAGGGACCAAATTGCACATTGGGTCAAAGTTCAGGGACTATTTGTGTCATTTTCCCTTGGAAAAACCACCATTTGATCATCTCCCTCCTTTTTGACCTGTCGATGCCTTCGCTACATGGAGAGATCGCCGGAAAACCGAGAGAGCTCGACGAGCAGACGGCGTCGTGTTCCAGCTGCTGCTGCTGCGTCTTCGAATCTCTTTGCGTATCGCTCTTCCTCTTTTCTCCGCGCGGGGGCGGTGTGGGGACGGACGGGTGGTGGTGACGTCGCAAGAGCTCGTGCGAGCCACGCAAAAAATCGCAGTGGAACTAATGGTCAAACTGATGAGTGCCTCTGAGAGAGTACGGTTGACCATTAGTATGTATCCTCATCATCAACGTCGTCGCGGGGGTTCGTTTTTGCTGGGAGCGCTCCCAGTTTCGCTCGTGATCAGCTGGAGTTGGTATTATTGCCCAAGCTACCCTTCTCTCCCATCGAGCGGTGCTGGGAACCAACAGGGTTCGGCGCTGCGCAGGGCAGAGAGCGTTGGTAAAAGAATTTCTCTTGCTAGCGAAAAGGGCAGCCACGTGTTAATCGTGCACTTGGGTATCTGTGTTTTGAGTCGGGCCGAAGATGATTCGTCCCAAATTAACCCGTTCCGACATGTTTTTCATGCTACACAAGTTTTAGGGCATGTTTGGCAACTTGCCAAATAGTAAAATTTTTTGTTCTTTTATTCCCAGAATTAATTTGGGAACAGAAATCCGTTTGTTAAATTTTTTGTGCCTGAGCACAATTTTGCAAAAAGGTGTTCCCAGAATCAGTTTTGGAACAGAATCAAGAAGCAAAAAAATAGTAGTTTTTTGATTCTGGAATAATTTTTCAATTTCTGATTCTTCTTGATTTTTTTCTTTTTTTTGGTTTGTTGTTGTTCTTTTGGCCTGCCGCCTGCTACCCGCTGGCCACTGCCGCTGGCCGTCGACCAAGGCTAATGAGGGCGTTGCGGCCCTCGCCGGTGGCTGGCGAGGGCGGCTCGTGGCCGCGATGGCAAGGCCTCGCCTAGCCAAGGCGAGGCCGACCTCGCTGTCCCGACCAGCAAGGACTGGGACGCCCTCGCCGACCCTGGCCTGTGGCCGGTCGCCATGGCTGGCGACCGGCCATGGCCAAGGAAGGGAAGGGAAAGAAAGAAAAAAAAAAGGAAAAAAAGAAATAAATATTACAAAATTCAAAATATTATTAATAAAATGAAATTTTGTGTAGTTATCAAACGCATTTCTGCTCTTTTTCTATTCTAAGAATAGAAATTTTAAGAAGTTACCAAACGCTTTCAAATGCTTAGAAATTGTTTCTGGGCACAGAATAAAAAAGAATCTGTTCTTGGGCACAGAATGATTGCCATGCGCAACCTTAGTGTCTCGCGCCCCCGACCTGGACCTGGTCTTTACCCAATCCGACCCACACTCCAATTCTTAGCAGGTTTCCTTCAATGCAGCATAGAAGAATGCACGGTGAAAAACGAATTACACATGAAAAAAGAAAGACGGCACATAAGAAAATATAAAAATCTCTATTTTCATGATAGGAGGTTATCATCGTTTTGATTTTAACTGGAAGAGCTGTTCCAACAATCAGGATTTATATTTCGAATCAAAAATTAAAATGCCTAATTTATTCTCTCAACAGCCAAATATAAAAAAATAGTAAGTCGATATTCACAAATCTTAGCCTCTTTTAAATAACACATAAGCCCAAACAACCACGATTGATGACCGACTGTTCGAGGCCGGATTACGCTTATAATGGTGGGTTCCCAGCTACTCACGGATGGCGCATTCGCTGGTATTTCCGAACAGACACGCAATATTCTCTTTTTCTTCGTTCGAGCCGTCACGTGCAACCGTGGAGAACCTTCGAGATGAGCATGCATGGTTGGGCAGAACAAACTTGGACTTCTGGAGACGTACGTGAAAGTGGGCACGGCACAGCATGAGGTTATATGCTGCCTGCTGCTATTTTTAATCGATGCGATCCTACCTACCTTAGCCGCATCATCTGTTGATACTTTTTTGACTTATTTTCTCATCTTGGTGGGCTGCGTACGAGCGCGAGGTCTCGACCTTGGCATGGAATTGACGGCTCGTGTCGAGACTCGTGAATGGTTTTATTCGGAAACTCCAATTCTGTAAGTTTAAATGATATGGTTTCGTCGGCAAATTACATGAACGTGATGGACAGCGAAAGATGAACGTCGAAGCCTCGAGTCCTCTTAAAATTGTCATCTATCGAATCAAGTAAACGCCCCCGTGAACATAGGTTTCGAAATTTGTCTTTTATCTCGGTCCATCTCGTTGGCATAAAATGAGGCTAGATGATGGAAGAAAGGTTCGTTATTGAACACTTTTGACACATTTAACGGGAAAATTACCAATTCAGTCCTCAACCTATTGCATTTGTGCCAATTCAGTCCTAAACCTTTCAATTTGGCCAATTCAGTCCTAAACCTTTTGCAAACCAGCCAATTCAGTCATTTTGGCCGGCCGGCGCTGACGTGGCCGCCGGCCACGTGGACCACCATGATACACGAACACGATCTCCCGCACCCGAAAGTAGACCTGTCAAACGGAAGGGTTGGGTCGGGTTTTTGTCGGGTCAAAAATGGTCCGATTCAAATTGACCTATTTAACCCATTTTGACTAATTTCCATGTAATACAAATCTAGTAATCAATATCTGACTTGACTCATGCCCAACCCATACACGACCCAATCCATATTATCAAAACACTTTTACATTTAATCAAATCTAGGAAAACTCATAACAAAACTAAGTTAAAAATATGGAGTGAGCAAGCGCGAGATCGAGTGAGGGTAAGAGAGAGTAAAAAAAGAGTAATAAATATGGGTTAGATCTAAGTAAGTTGTGAACCCATTTAACTTGTAGAGTTTGGTTCAAACCTATTTACCGAATATAATTAATCCATTTAATAACTTAACTCATCAAATATGGATTAAAAGATAGATCTATGACCTATTTTGACGAGTTTACCCGAAAGCAACATTAGTGAGAGAGGACATAACCATGATCGGATCGGTCTTGCATGGCATTAGACAATGAGGCCAACAGCTTTTCCAAGGCACCTCTCTGGCCATCTTTTCTGACTGATTCAAAATAGAATGTTAAGACGAAGTCATCACAACTGTCTTAAAGTGGGAGGCCTTGCTGGCGACGGCCCTCGATTGTGCGATCTCGCCCGAAAGCGATGGGTGATGTTGACTTCTGGATTTGTGAATTGGCGTGGCGGGATGAACATCAAGAAAGAGCATTAGGAAATTCTCAGCACGATGAGAATACAGCTGCAAAATCGAAAAGCCTCTTTGACATGCTTCACATGTCTACACGTTTGTTGTCACAAAGTCAGAACATCACCTACAGCAAAGTTGTTGACAAATCATATCCCACGGGAATTTTGCTGATCAAGGATGCAAAGGCATTTAAGAATCAGACAGCTTCAATTCTGCATAAGATCAAAGGGAAGTTGAACCATAGGATCAGGGAGGAATTTTTTCGCCCTTAGTAATCAGGCAGCTCCTACAAGGCTTGTCCTCGCAAATTGTATGGAATCTAACTCAAGGGTTACGTGTTGTCTTGTCTCGAAGAAAATGTTTCTACATCTTGTGAAAACTTCGAAGGTGTAACCTACGACTTCCGGAGATTTCAAACAATTTTGCAAATATTCTACTTTTTGTCAAGCAATTATGAATTTTCGATTATATACTCTTCATTCGTCTACTCAGTTGAAAATGACCCGAGGCTCTTACTTAGATGCTAAAACTTTTCATTAGATCACTTAAGTGTCCCTTAAAAAAACAATCACTTTAAGTGCCAACTCCGACTTCGGATGTGATAATATCCTAACATATCTTCTGATTGACGCGGCTCACTGGCTTGATTAATAGTCCTAAACGACGCCGTTTAACACATGATCACCCCAAATTCAACCTTTCTTCAAACCCTAACCTTACAATAAATGATTTGGGGAAAAATTCAGCCTCATCCTCAAACTCTAGCCTCACAACTGTGAATTTAGAGCAAAATTTGTAATTGAAACTTGCAATAAAGGTCTGCTACTTCATTTGTGTGATTTTGTCTCACTAGAATTGTAATTTTTACAGTGGGATTTTGAGGAAGGAGATGGAGCTAGGAGAGAGGAGGACAATGTCGCCCTTACGGATGCCCATGGCGTAAAGGCGGCAGGTGAGGAAGTCAATGGAGCACCAGAGCTCGCGGAAGGGGACATGGAGGCCGGAGGAGGCGTCGATGAAGGCCATGGAGTTGCGATGGGAATAGGAGGAGATGAATGATGTGATGTTGAGGTAGGGGTTGGGGGGAGGCGAATGGGTTGCGCTTGATGTAGAAGATGGAGTTGGAGCCATAGAGACCGCTTTTGGGGTCGATTTGGAATGGGTTGGTCTCTATTGAATATGAATCCTTACTTCCTAAGAGCTTGAGCTTCCATCCAAGTGATATCTATTCTTGGACTAGAGAGAGAAGAGAGTACGAGAGAGAAAGAGAATGAGTATTAAGCCAGATCGTCTCCACATTGGACTCCATTTTTTTTTATTTATAATAATGCCACATAAACATTAAAATTTCATTTAAAAAGCCACGTAAGACGAATTGCTGGAATTTGTCGCCGAAGGCATTCAAGTAATAGTTTTTTTTCCGCTTTGACACTTAAGTGATTCGACAAAAAGTTTTAACACCAAAGTGAGGCTATAAGAAAGTTATGCCACTTTTAATGTCATTTTTCTTCCAAAAAACAGATAAATTCTCGCTGCCAAATTCATATTTCTGGTATGCCTTCAGTGCAAACACAACTTTGCACGGACACACAAGGTGGGTTGATCAAGAAAGAAGTACGTACTTGTGTCGATAATGGCAGCAACAGTGGTGATTGCAGATCGCTTGAAAGTGCTAAAGCAGATAACCAACGTTCGCAGCTATGTTGTCATCCTAAACATCTTTACACAAAACAAATCAAGACTGACCACTTATTCTCATCACCCGACAAGAAAAGTATACTCTGAGAAATTTAGAACAAGGACATCGCAACAAGTCGCTAGAATATTTTGGGGAAAGAACCAAAAACTATTGTAGCTCGCTGATAGTTTATTGTTAGTACTCAAAAACAACCGGCCAATTACCTGAACGTCAAAACTCCCAGAATTGCCACAATACAAGGATAGATCGACTCATAAATTAAGATGAAGCAACCCCGAAGGATTTTGTCGAGAGTATTTGAATATATTTATCACGTCTTTATCTATTACCTTAAGCTTTTAGAGTAGTTTGCAGTGGTCCGACAAAATTTTTCACATGGTATCAAAGTAAAAAGATCCCGTGTTCTTTTCAGACCCTTAATTGTTGCCTCTGTTATTTATTTTCACACTTAAATCTTAACCCTAAGTCCAGTCTATGTGTGATGTTAGGGTTCTTAAATATAGAAGCCATGCTTTCGTCTATCAACTTAAGCTTTTACGACAAATGGTAGTAGTCTCATAGAATTATTCAGAGACTTAACCATCGCTAGCTCATATCACCAGTTTTTCAGCTTAACACAACTGTCACAAGCTCATCATCATAATAAGAATTCTAGCTTCCTGCAAAAGAAGTTCAAACTAGTGAAGATGTGTGCAAAATGTGGACCTACGCTCCCATTGTAAACTAATGCTTCGTATTATTATTGGTCGTCCTAGAACTAAATATTTCTACAGAAACTGTTTATCAACAGAGTTCAGAGTTTCATATTTTTGCTTCAAATCCTATTACTACTTTTCAAATCTTATGCTGTTTGATAGACCCTAGGTTTTGTGCACCTGGCCTACAAGGAGGAGGGCAAAATAACTGCTTAATATGCACTAACGGACAGCTTTTCTAACTAAGACTTTGGTAAAAATGACAGTTTATAGTGCTGCCCTGAAAGTGACACCACAACCTCAGCTGTTGAAAATCATTCGCATATTTTTTGCAAGTCACCAAACTTGGAATATTGTTGGCCCTGAGGGCGAGGGCCACTTGTCAAAAAAGCTAATAATTGCTTGGGAAACCATATACGTTAACAATGTCACAAGCGGTATTTCAGCAAAGAGTTGATAACAGGTGAAGTGACAAGGTAAAAATTAACTCTGATTGCTTTCAGCAAGAGTCAAAGAATGTCAAAATTTGCTGCAAATCTTGCCAGCTTATTCAAGAAACAACAAAAGAATGTGTAAGGAAAAGAAACTGCTCAAAGGAGGATTTTAAGCTACTTCTTACCTCCATTAACATTTCCTTGCTTAGAGAAAGGCCAAAGATTAACCAGACGCTCAAGAACGGCAGCACTCTTCGAGAAATAGCCTGAGAAACCCTGAGGCGTCGCCGGTGGAGGAAAGTCTTCCGCAGGCATTGCAAATGGGCGAATCATCCTCTCCATCTTCTCCAAAGTCAGATAAGATCCCACTTCTTGCAGCCTCTCTGGGCCCATTATTGGCAGTGTGTGCTCCTGATGCAGTGAAGTAGCTTCACTGTCATTCTTCTGCAAAAGCAAAACCCCTCCATGAGTGGAAGACTGCCAACATAACAGCTGCTACATGCAATTCCAGTACATATGACATATAATGGATACCAATACCAAGTCATATGCATCCATATTCAGTATTAGATTGAATTCATCAGTATGTAGCATACACGTTTGTTTTCACAACGTCTAAGGGTTTTCAAATGATTCACCAGAAAGGCTAAATAACAGTATATTCAACATGCATGGTTGAAGTAGATAGTTACATAGCAGTGAAAATTTATCAGTATTGAAAAAAAAAATCTTTCTTTTCCCAAAAAGTTATATAAGAATCATTGGTGAGGTAGCTCAAAACCCCTTACAAGATACACAGCAATAATAGTTTATCTTAGATGACAAGAAAAGGGATCCTACTGTTCCTCAATCTTCACCCTATGAACATGAGTTGGACAGAAGAATATACTAGGAAACCATTTGCACTTCTCGTTACTCAGTGGCATTACCTCAAGAGGAGATAAATCTGCACCTCGGCTAAATGCCATCTCTATGCGGAACCGTTTTGGATCTTCTAAAGCTACCTGTAGCACAATGGGAGGGCGATATCAAGCTCACTCTAATAACTTACGAATGCAACAACTTGAGTTAACTGATGCAAGACACAGCTACCAGAGAGAAGGATTAAGAAATTGTCATGTCCGAATTAGGAAAAGAATACTGTATGATTGCAGAAATTCTATGGGGAAATTTTAACAATCCTACATTGACTATGAATCAGGGATAAGCAGCAAAGTACTTTAGCTTGTTATTCAAGTTAAAGATTTGGAAGATGTGAACCAATGTTGTTGAGGGAAGCAAAGCATTTGATTGCCCAAAGTTAAACCGTTCTAGCCAGAACCCATGCTCTAGCTATGGTTGTGCACACCAGGCTGGGATCAGTCAGAATATATGCTTTGCTGTTCATCAAGATTGCTAACAGAGAAGAGCTACCAAGAGAAGGACAAGTCAGAGAAGAGTCGGTTCATATCAAAGCACAATTAGAACATAAAACAGCGCAATTTTTTGACCTTTTGCATGGATGAAATCATGAAACAACTGAATGATTCCCTACAAATAGGATTATATGCTTTCGAAGTTTTCACAGTCTCAGTCCCATGAATAGCTTGTACTTGCAATTTTAGGTGGATAATCCTCCTCTTAGACCAAATTCCGGGGAACTTTATCCGCTAATAATTGCTTGACCAGTCCATCAATTAGCAATGATGCTGTCTCAGATAATTCATGCATTATTAAACTACAATTGCCAAAACACATACTTCCTTCTTGAGTTTCAATGCTCGCTTTCTGTCACATTGAATGGCATTAACTTTGTTTTGAGAAACCATTTACTTGCATCAGAAATTTCACCACCAATCTTGTGTGGCGAGAGATTTGAAACCTCTTGACATACACTATTTAAAACTAAGGAGTTGGCACTAGTCCAGATAACAAGTTGTTTGTTTAGTTTCCTTTATGCTTAATAACACTGGATCTAACTTTCAGGGAAAACACCATAAGGAGCCCACAGATCAAGAAAGACCAACCTCTGTGTTCTCAAACATTCTCAGAACGATATAACTCATGTAATCAAGCTCTTTAGTCCTGTACAAGCGCTCCAAGCCATTAAGGAAAATTAGGCTATCCTCCCCCTGAAGGGACTCATCCAGGTTACAGTAGCGGAGTACGTTCATGAGAGAATGGATATGTGATTCCTGTTATCCAAGACAAAGTACATTTCAGAAGCATTATAGATATACTGATATGAAGATGACACTATGAACCAAATTCACAATGCCAAGAAAAGCACCTTGCACAGGGCACCAGCATCCAGTTGTAAAAGAAAAGATCAAAAAGTCTAGAAGCATCAAATTATCTTTGGTTGGTATACAATGGGTTCACAAAAGACTCAAGGAAGAAGTCGAGCAATATTAGAATAATGTAACCCTATGATGATATTACTCAGACAAGAAATATTGGTACTATTCATATAAGACATCATTCACATGAAAATAAAATAACCAAGTCAAGATAGAAAGACTAAGGACTGCGATTAGAAATACTTTCACATATAACATAAGTAAAATATGGCATCTACTGCACAAGCAAAGATGCAGACTTCCAAGACTTGTTTAGTAGAAAATGTCTTCCTAGATCAGCACATTTAAGGACTGCCACTTGCACAAAACTTAAAATAGGAACAAACTGTTCATCAGAAAATTGTCATTGAACTCACTGATGTGAAGTAAAGCCGCGTTCGTACATGACGTTCAGGAGTCTTGACATTTGCGTACCTAAAAGAATTATGCAAGGAAATGTAAGACTGTCTGCTTTAGTATATGATTGCAGTTTAAATGAGCTCACGGAATACTTTGGGTCTAAACGATATTGAGACTCTCTGTCATCCTCATCATCCTGCTCCATTGACTTCTCACTGGCACTAAATCTTCTATATTCTTCACTCCAATATTCTTGATCATCCCATTCAGTCTCGCTTGATTTTGAACATTGTTCTTGATTGCTCTTTAGTCCAGCAATACAAATTGCCTCTTCACGAGTATTTCTGAGATCAATCAAAATCTTTCCCAACAAACGGCGAGCAATCTGAAGTTGAACAAAGTGAGATCTCGGAAGAAGATGCAATCCAGTCGTGTATTAAAATCAAGTTATGACCACAAGTAGAAGACACCTTTGATACAAGGAATTCATGGAAAAAAGTAAGGCAGACATTAAATGACAAATGACTAAGAAGATCCATAAATAATTTGGAGCAGCAAATTTTTACAACGTTGTTCCTACAAATTTCTATTCCAACCTTACCGCTGGGGAAATTGTTCACTATCGAAAGATCGTAGTTTGCATGATCTACACCATTCGAAGAAACAAAAAATTTGATACTTCACTAGCTTGTTACATCAGTACAACAATTTTCTGCTAATTCAAACTTGTAAAGTTGTCTGGGTTGAGATGTGATATCTCCACAATCGATGTAAACTATGATTTCTAAACTATTTTCAACTATAAAAGAGAGATGTGAACAGGTTGGATATTACATGACCTATCCAAGAGAGAATATTTTCAGCTTGTGATGAGCTCACAAGAACATCACCTTCTAGTGGTGATTCATAGACATTTCAAAACGTAGAAGTCATATTATTAGAAAATCCAACCCAAAAGCTTAAGCTAAAAGATAGAGGGAGAGCACATGAATATGAAGAGCATTTAGGATCCGTTGTCAAGTGATGTGGGATAATATTTCAACACCCCCTCTCACGTGCAAGCTGGATTACAAGCGGCACGTGAAATTTTTGACTATGCACATTCACGTGGAATTTTGACCACGCACATTCACGAAAGGGATAGCATTGACTTTGATACCATGTTAGAAAGTCCAACCCAAAGCTTAAGCTGAAAGGTGGAGGTGGAGGGGGACCACATGAATATAAAAAGCATTTAGGACCCGTTGTCAAGCAATGTGGGATAATATTTTAACACATATGAAGCACAATGTTACCTTTGATCCAATCTTTAACTTCTGCCTTGGATTAATACCATACTCATTTGGAATTACACCATCTGCAAGTAACTTAAAGACAAAAAAATAGAAAACATGCATTTTAGGCGATAGCTCAACCAGACATTAATAAACAGAGAAATGCTCAAGTTGCGTCACCTCTGGAATCCATTTCCATGCCCCAAAAAGTAAATTCTCATGCCATTAGATGACTAGCTTTTTCTTACAAGAAAAAAGTTATCTTCCCCTTCCTTTCTACTTGTCACAACCATAGGTTGCAGAGAAGAAAATGACGCATGGACAAGCATTTTTAACAGACTACGAAAGACATCATTGTTCATACATTGTAATAAAATAGGTTCAAAATTAAAAGGGACCAACATCTCTATAAGAACTCTTAACATTTTGAAACTAGCATAAAACTATTGCTGAAAATTATTGCGTCTATACCTGTGCTACTTTGAAAAGGTCATCCAATCCCTCCAGATTAAGATGTGCATTGTGTAGAAGATCATATCTAGCAAGTGATGACGAAAATTTGTGTAAGACTGAAGAGGGGGAAGAAACACAGAGATATAAAAGGTAAAAATAACAATATTTGATGCAATTCACGTGCACACTAGAATCAAGTTTAATCTGAAGATTTTACTTTTAAATCAAACCAATTAAAAATTGTCAATAGTAGAAAAGATATCGCGAAAATGAAATGGCAGAAAGTAACATGACCTGAAAGGACAAATTAGTTACCGTGAGGAATTACCACAGACTTGTTAGATAAAAAAGTCCTTTTTAGGGCTATAGATCGAATATAGGGCAAATGCTACTGGAGAAAAGCAGTTTACATAAGGTTATTGAGAAAGCAGAATAGTTTACGTGAAACTACCAAAAGACCGGACAAAACAAGATGTCAAGTACAAGATTTGGAAAAGAAACAATCGCTTGACAATGATCAAGAAACAGATCTCTTCGCACTATACCTACAATTGCAGTGCACATGTAATCTGTAGAGAGAGAGAGAGAGAGAGAGAGAGAGAGAGAGAGAGAGAGAGAGAGAGAGATTCTGCAGAGCGACCGCTAAAAAAATTAAGATAACGCGTCAGAAAAAGAATGAGACGACTTAGGACTCAAAGACTATAATCTGCTGGCACTATGTCGGCTTCATGTACATGGTATATATTGATATTCCTGATTAAAAAATTATATTTGCTACGCTAAGGCAACAAAATGACTTACTTGCACGAGTCATAAACATCAGGAATTTGCGTTATGTCAAACCTCCTGCAGATAAATCTATATCGTCAGCAAAGGCCCTCCAGTATCTATGACTCTTAATACCAAATTCAAACATTCAAAGGGCTTCCAGAATTTATGATATCATGCTTCGACACCACATCAAACAATAGGGGGAGAAAATGTAGTAATCCTTTGCCAACCTAGATGAGAGGTTAATATGAAACACAAATCTGTCCTTAAGAATTAAGAATTGTATAAGCGAATTACCACCTCACAGTGCAGGAGAATTACCAAATGAACATCTATATTAACATGATCAATGCCGTCATATCAAGGAGATCAACATGGAAGTAAAAAGATGAAAACTAAAACCAGCATAAACAAGTAGAATTATATTAGGAAATTACTTACTCCTTGCGTTCATTGTACAAATCTCTTTCAAGTTTTCTCCATCGAGCAAACATCAAGAGAAAGCCCTCACTACCACAGGGCAATCCAGCAGCAATGCGATCGACATCAATATTGGTCTTACCAAGTGCTTTTGCTTGATCATACGGAAGAATCAAATTATATCCACTTGTCTCTATAAGTTCCTCATCTTCATCCTTTGCAAGAAGTTTGACTTGTTCTGTTACCTTCCTCGTCAATTTCACCTATTCACATATAAGTTATAATAGTAAACATATAATTATTACTGATAATTGGGTACTTTTTATAGAATATTTACACTACCAATATAAGAAAATCACAGATTGAAAACAAAACCGAGAAAAAAAATAGCAGCAAAATCAGAGGCTGTATTAGGAATATATCAGCAGCAACTGCAAGCAAAATAAGTACACACCAACAATAGGTTCTGAGATTTATTGCTATCATTGGGAATAAAATAAGAATTCAAACTATGGTGGTTGTCCTCTGATGGTGATCAATCACTTTTAAGTCTAGATGCAGAACATCAGTACAATTCCTGCTGTCACATTCTCTGTTAAACATTGTGAGATAAAGGGGCTTGTGCCATGAACAGATTTCATCCTAGCCATGTGAGGCAAAAGAGAGAGGCTTCATAGCATCAGGGTACATTGTGGGGAGTGGTGTCAAGGTGTTTTTGGTTAAGAATCCAGGGACGTGATGACAATCTTCCTAGGGGATCTCCGATGACAAGGTTGGCCACCCATGAACAAACTGATTGGAGTTGATGTCTCTTTCTTATTGATGGCCATGGTAGGAGAAAACCAATTATTGTGTTGAGAAACCTGTGTATCTTGCTCGAGGGATTGGACACCTAGGCTAGACAAAATGTCATACGGATGATTATTATGGGATCCACCGTACCACTTGGAAATGATCTAGTGAGGCAAGGCTGGCCTAGCTTGCCGAATCATTATGCGATGTCCTCATCCAGGAAAGTCTCATCCCATACAATTGTTATAAGAGTGGGTTTGTCCAAACGATATGAGCACACACGCAATGAGAAGATCCGTTGCCATGTTTCCATATAAAGGAAAAGCCCCCGTTGGTTTGACGAGATCAAGAGTTTCTTAATAGGTGAAAGAAAGTAATGCTGAGGTAGTGTTGTTGGCTTTGGATGCCACACTTGTCTAGGAAAACACAATTGACCAAGGATTGGTGAAAATTTTGATCAGTGGGTTGATCAATGGAGTGAAGACTGATGTCCAATTTGGCAATCTTTGGCCATTCACATAAGTACTAGCGAGTGATGGTGACTGTTAGAATGTTTAATTAATAAATCACGCATTTATCTAACAGTTTAAGCTTTTAGAACAGTTGACAGTGGTCCCACAAAATCTCACATGGTATTAGAGCTAGAGGTCCTGAGTTCAAATCTTTCCAGGCCCCATTTGCCTCCCCAATTAAATATGTCCACACTTAGTACCAGGCAAAAAGACCAGACTAAGCGTGAGGGGGAGTGTTAGAATGTTTAAATAATAAATCACGCCTTCATCTAACAGTTTAAGCTTTTAGAATAGTTGGCAGTGGTCTCACAAAATCTCACAGTGACGATACGGTATGAAAGCAACAGCATAGCCCACAATTAAGGCATTATGGAAATTGATCGGATAGAGCAATTATCCACTTCTTCCCTGGCTACGTGAATGAAAGAATGGGGCATCGTAGCATCGGGGTTAAGTGTAAGGGAAGCATAAGAGATGACACCATTGGAACGTGGGAATGGTGTCAAGATGTTCATGCTAGGAATTCGGCATGTGATGATAACCTTCCTAAGAGATCTTCAAAGATGGGGTTGACCACCCATGCGGAAACTGGTCGAGACCTGATGCTGCTATCTTGATGATGGCCATGACAGGCCAAAATCAGTTGTGCTGCGATGATTTGCATGTCTCACACAAGGGACTGGAAGACCAAAATAAACGGGAGATACCGTTCGTCATGATGATGTCATACATTATACTACTCTTGTGAACGATCTAATGAGGAAGGTTCGTACGGTATTCCGACTTAGCAGGCACCTCACAAGCTTGTCCTTTACTAAGAAAGTCTTCACTTTTGATAGTTGAACATCATGGATTATGCCGATCCAAATGGCATAAGCATCTACCAGGCAAGATTATTGATTTAAGGCTTCACATGAGAGAGAGAGAGAGAGAGAGAGAGAGAGAGAGAGAGAGAGAGAGAGAGAGAGAGAGACAGAGAGAGAGAGAGAGAGAGATTTATACAAGATACAGACTAGCATCTAATGACAAATTGAAACTTCAAACATCATTAAAGAGAATTACAGATGACCACTTGACAAAGAATATATCTATATAGAATCCCAATGAAAAAATGACCAGCACGTCGAAGACCAATTTAAAAAATCAGAACATTTACATTTTATGCCCCTATAAGCTAACCAACTAATTGAGAGAGAAGACACAAATAATGCATAAAAGATTTGGTTTGAATGGAACGAAAAAAGTAGAATCTAAACAACTAAAGCTGGGATGTGCAACGGATTATTAAATTAAATCTAGCATATTTATCATGCTCCACAACATGTTGCCTATATAGCATGTTTATTATGCTCCATGACAAGTTGCCTATATAGAGCAACAGCAATATTATTTGAAGGAAAAAAATAATCCTTATTAGAATTTATTTTAAAAAAATGTGAAACAGAAACAAGAGATAGCTGAGACCTGCAGGGGGTTCTTCCAATTTCACTTCAGGTCCAAAAAAGTCAACACATTTGAACTAACATATTTGCATTTAAGGATGGATATGGACCATGCACCAGAAATTAATTAATACATCCAAATACTTCTAGTTTCTTTCAGGCTATTTGGGTTTCTAATTGTCCACCCAAGTATATATCTGACATGACATCGTAGTAAATAATTCTTCAATTTCCCAGTTTTCTGATGCTATTTACATGGCACACCCTAAGAACAAGCTTGTTGCACAAAAAATAATGAAAAATGCGTGAAATGAAAATTGAAAATAGTGCAAATGAAAAATAAAGGGTGAATGACAAATGAAAATCTAAAAGACAGTATTATGCCATAAAAATCAGAGTCAACCTCCATTGAGTAGCATGTAGCCTAAATAGTGCAAATAATGCTGCTTACAAAGAATTACTTCCACGACCAAAAAAAAAAAACAAAGAATTACTTCTACCAAAATGTGTGATCATATGATTAAGCTAAAAGAGTAGCTCAATTACCAATTCAGGTAGAAGCTCTGAAGCATTCGAAGGCAATCCGACCCCATCAGCCATCCAGGGAAGTTCAGAGGAACCATTGCTGCTGCCCTTACTTACACCAGTCGTTATAATTTCATTCAACATTGCCTGAGAAAGCAAAGACACTTAGAACATACAGCGTATGAAACTAGAAATCATGAATGACTTCATAATGTAGCCTCAGTAGCCTTTCACTTCACATGAAATCATTACAAGCATACAAAAATGTACAGTGACAAAAAAAATCCATTATCTAACCTTAGCTTCTTCCATCTCAATACTAGCATTATCAAGTCCATCCAGCATAGAGGAGTCCTTGCTAACAAGCGAAACCTTCAAACAATTACTGGATTAGCACTTAACTACACAATAGCAACAAGTTTCAAAATAATCCTTCAAGAGTGCACAGACCAGGATAGGTGTTAATTGACCTTCCAAATCAAGGAGGCCCTTAGCAAATGCAGCAGCAGACATCTGTTACCAAGCATCTTATAAGTGATGAAACCAGAAAAATCTGAGCATCTCAATATATAGGTAGATTCACTATCAACTCTCAATAGGAAAAAAGCATATGTCAACCATTTCTAGCAAATCAAATAGTCGTAGGGAAGACCATACCTGCACACGGCCCTCATCAGAGCTGTAGATTTTAAGATCATGACGGTATGTACTATGGAGGCGAAGCAAGCCAGTGCCTTCTCCTGAGAAAGCAGATAATCATAAATGAGGACGCTACAACATGTCATGGCCCAAAGAAGGCCATCGGTTCTTCATATCCTGATTAGCACTTAAACTAAATTATAATAAAAAGCATCAAATATTAAATGATACAAACTTATTGATATTAAGCATCAATAAAAATATATCAAGAAAGCAATAGGCCGAGACAATTGGCCCAATTAACAGATTCTAGTTGGTTGGGGTGACAGACTGCCAATGTAAAGCAGCCAGGATTTACAACAACCAGACTTGTCAATGGAATCATGGGGGTTCCCAACTTTTGCTGAAGAAGATGCAATGCAGAAATATTGTTAGACTACAAGTTAGACTACAAGTTAGACTACTTAAAAGTGCAGAACTTATCACAGCGCAGTGGCTATGTCCCAGCAGGGAGGAAAGGATCAAAATGTCAATTTTGAAAAACCTTAACAAGCTGCTGATTCACCGATATTAATTAATCATTACAAGTTCACTAATATCATAGCAACTATAAGACAATTACTAGATGCAGAAGTACAACAAAATTTTAGTTCCTACTTGGGGAACTTTCTTGCTCAGAAGCTATAAATTAGCAACAACTCCGAGGGAAAAGAATACCTGGATAGATGTTATTCCGGAAGTATCTACCAAGTTCTTCAGCCTGCAAAAAGTAGGAAATTTACTAATTGTTCAAGGCAAACTATAATTGGACAGTGCACATATCAGTGCAAGGTGTAGCTACGTACAACTCTTTAGACATTAACAGATAAATGAATTAGAAATGACACGAAAAAGTAAAGGCACGAAAGTAAGCAGATGAAACCTGCTTTCTTCCAGCATGAGTGAGAACTCCCCCATATTTAAGAACCATGAGAGCTTCAACGGGACGTTCTTGTTCCCCTTCACCATCACTTTTCGTAACTTTAATCCATTTTAGTGGTTTCAGTTGAACCTTCCTGTAGATACCGGAGAAGTGTCCCCCCTGTGAAGAAAAACAGAATAATAAGCACCTCATCTAATAAGTTAAAGGCGATATCTGAAAGAGAATGAAAACATAACTGCTTATTCACAAAACATGGTCCAGGAATTAAATGACAGGGACATGCAACTAGACCAGATCAACCCCATGATCAGCCAATCCCCCACAACGAGCAGAAATTGGCAAGAAAAGCCCACAACCAGCCAAAAATTGGCCTGATCAGTTCCAATCCAAGCTGATTGCCAGTTACAAAATTTAAAACTGACTAGGGACTCAGGTTCCACCTCCGATTCTACTGGGAAGGATGTAATCAGCTGGTTCCTGGTTGGACCATGTCTCGCTTAAACAATTCAAATTTTGCACTTGAAGGGAATAAACCCGTTGCCCAACAGTTTGAAAAGCCACATAAAAGCCACTCTATCAATAGCGATTCTTGTGTCTTAATGTCCTCAAACTTTAATTAATAAGCTTTAAAAGGCCAATACCAAGGTCTACCTAGGTATGGCCTGTTCACTTCCTGCTTCTAGGTTCCGCAGAACTGACCCCCACAAGTTGGTTCTTGGTTCCAACCTAAAATCTGGCCCCTTTGCACCATGCTTAAAATGTTATTATCGAGGACAAGTATCAGTTGCACCAAAAGAAAGGTTAAATGATCTACTTATTCACGACATAGGTTGAGTTGATCCATTGATGAGAATAAATTGCGAGACATTCTGAAGAACCACAACATCTCAGGCGATTTTGAACCGCCACCAAAATTAACAATGAAAAAGCTTGTCAAAGATATTGGAATAGTTTAAGGAAAAAAACATACTGGACAAAACAGAGAAAACCCTTCTAATAGGATGAACCTACTCTTTTCATGGAGGAGTGATGGACAATCATGAGGAAGGGTCATCAAGCAACAAAGATATATGAAATGACATGCCCATGGGTTTGATTGTATACAGTGTGCTGGATGATGATCAGCAGATGATTACGCGTAATTGAAAGTGGACACATTACCAAGAATTGCTTACTCATGGAAGTAGAACAATGAAGTTTGAGCTTCAGCAAAGAAACAAGAAGATAATTTCATAATCCAGAGGAAGCACAAAGGAAGGAGAGAATTTGCAACCTCCTCCAAAACGGCTTTAACCTGACGAAGCTTCTCAGCATGTTCAATGTCTTCTGCCTCACTATCACTTTCACGACCAGGTCTAATCAATATAAGTACTCTTGTTACTTGAAAAACTACAAAACCAATGCATTCTCCAATTTTCATCAGGTAGTGTAAAATATCATGAAAAGAGCACTCTGTATAAGTAGCTGGCAGACAACTTTACAGCTTTCTTTATATCAGTAAAAAAGAAATCTTAGGTAAGTCCATTGCCAGAAAGCTACACTTCCTCAAGAAAAGATGAGCGTTCATAAACTTTACAGCTTTCTTTATATCAGTAAAACGGAAATCTTAGGTAAGTCCATCGCCAGAAAGCTACACTTCCTCAAGAAAAGATGAGCGTTCATAAGCTTTACAGCTTTCTTTATATCAGTAAAAAGGAAATCTTAGGTAAGTCCATCGCCAGAAAGCTACACTTCCTCAAGAAAAGATGAGCGTTCATAAACTTTGATTGAAAGCATTTTAATAAATATATTTCTAATCCTAATAAATAGGATTTCCCTCTCATTACATGACAATGATGAAGCAGTAACGGGAGGGAGCTACTGGAACTTCAACTCATACTTTGATCTCGCAGTTGAACACAGCAAAGTGAAAAACCACCATTCTTTCAATGGAAACAAAGGAGAAGAACTACTTGGAAGTCAATATATGAAAGCTTGAAAGAGTTCATAGAGCTTTGACATTGCATCATGTCAAAGAGGCGTAAATACTGTCATTAACACCTTGCTTGTGACCTTTTTTTTTTTTTTGCACATTTTTTCGGCCAAGTGCTTGTCGTTATTTAGACCGATCTTGATTTTCACAAGTCATAAAATATTCTTCTTTTTTTTCCTTTACTTTGTCTGTAACAGGGGAAGGAGATGGAAGAGTTTACAATTACCAATATAAACAGATAATGGTAGAGATACATGAATGAAGCTATAGAATTGAGCTTCCAAAAAGACCCAATAGAATGACAACAGAAAAGCTAGTACCCAAACAACACAAAAAACAAAGCTGCAATTTTTCTTCCACCGTAATCAGTAAGGACCAGAACAACACCAACAACATTAAAAATGACTGCTATGAACCTGCTCTCGTGCTTGGTCCAGTAAATGTCAGTATGCCATATTTGTGATGCAAGGTCAGTAGATTTCCTCACATATAAATGAGACGAGTCTATAAATTATCCTTCTCCAAAGGAAAAAAACAGACAACTTTTACACTTAGAATCTTCCAAACATGAAAACCATCCTTAAAAGTAATACCTGGTGCGAGGAACTAGCGTCCTTGTTGCATCTAACAAATCTTGCAATTGGACAGCACTTTTGAGTTTTGTCTACCAGCAAGAGAACCAAAAAGTGTTCCAATGACAAAATATATTAACGACAAACTGTAATTAGAAACATTAAAGAGGAAAAATCACCTCAGATCTAGGCCTTCCTCCATTGTATTTGAGCATCAAGTTTAGAAGTTTTTCCTCAGTAACTTTCAACTTTACTTTCTGTTTGGGAGTTCTATCACCGCTGCACATCTTACAGATGAATATGATAGGAAAAGGGAGCCTAATGCCCCAAATAATTGTAGTAGTGGAGCACAACTTACTGACGAATGACAGCAATCACACAACGCAGCTCCTCAGCCTGCCCAAATGTGCCAATAATCCCACTTCCTTGACGGGTTAGTCCCTCGGAAGGCTGCACAGGTTCATTGACTTTCCATGGTAATATTGGCGGAATTGTTGAGGAAAGATGGGGAGCTTTTGCCTCCAATAACATCTTTCTCAAAACACACGCAGCATCATCATAATATCTTGGCAAAGAAAAAAAAGAGGGGTCAAGATTCTTTTTTGAGCAGACTAAAGAGGTTTGTGTGTGGCAAACGCAGTGTCAGCAACATAGCTATACCAGGGTTAACAGTGTCTAGAGGACCACAAGAGTGAAGGGGAAGTACTGCCAGACAGTATTCTCTAAGTAGACAAGTCCTATGAGGGATCGTAATGTACAACAGCTTTTTCCTGTTATAGTAGGAAAACTAACATGAACTGCAAAATGCAGATTCTGATTCTTCTTAAGAGATAAGAAAATGGTAAATTGCGCTTAGTTTGTTATAAAATGGGCATCATTGTGATTAAGTAGAGAAACAAGCCAAATAAAACCAAAGGAAGAGCCCTTACTTGTGGGAGTTCTTCACGAAACTCCAACCATTCACATCACAAACATATGACCGTCCCTCACAGCGCAATAGATCGAACCCACAGACCTGGAACAAAAGCAAGTAGTCTGCAGAATGAAATAATTGAGCAAGGGAGAAAGTATCAAAGAATAAGGACACATGAGGCAAGAAAAAAGTCTACTGGGCTAAATTATGGCTAACCGGTGAAGATCTACACAGAGCAACAAAATTAATAGAATGAACAGCCTAAAGGATGTCATATGATATTGAAGGACAACATCATCTGCCTTTCAATTCGATCAACATTATTCAATATGGCAGTTCACATGACTTACCATTTGCCGGAATGCGATGCAAACTTCTCTTGCCATTTGCTTCTCAGCAGGAGTCAACAGCACAGGATACCTCACCTGTAGGGATGGCTCAATCATACTTTTACATTCTTCGACAGAGATAGAAAGCCAAACAAGGGGAGAGGGGGACGGAGTCAAACTATTGCATGTAAAGCCACTTTTCTTCATCCCCAGAGGAAAGATATATGACCTACCACTGAGTCACAACATTATGCAACCGTGAAATTCTAGTTGTTAATTTGTATTGGAAACAAGAATAAATAGAGGTCCTATGCTCAATACCCCAAAGAAACGTTGCTTTGATCAGTCCAAGCCTTATTTTTTAGAGTTCAATTACAACTATTTCTTGAGAAATATATTGCAGCTGGTATTACATACTTCCTTTCCATCAGGATTTCTCATAACAACACCATCCACAACTGGTGACTTCCGCGCCTCAGCATGCGCATATTCAGGACCAACAGTATACACCTACAATCATAAATAGACTGTTCAAGTGACTGGACTCTGCCTGGACTTTAAAAATAGATGAGTACCCAAATGAAGTTCCTAGAGCAGTAATTTTTCAAAGTAATCATGAAAACTTCAAATAATATCACAAGAATGTACATCCAGCATATGACATACTAGATATAAGAGAGAATCAGAAATGCATTTGTGCAAAGCCTGTGGAAAATTTAGTTTACACAGACTCAGCACATATGACATGCAAGTTGGAAAAGCCATTTTTAGAAATAAAATCAATGATCTTTAATTGAAATGCATACATGGCAAGCATATCATGTAGCTTGCATAAATTAAACTAAACACGAGATATATAACCTATAAAAATCCAAGAAAAAAAAAATAGACACTTTGACATTTTATTGTTGTGACCAACCATGATGTTTTGTTAAGGACACAGATGTTTGACATGAATTGATGATATTAGGCATTAAACCCTCAACTTCCTCACAATGTTGTTCTTCACCAATTATTACTACATAAATATAGTAAAATAAATAAATCCCATCATTCAAAAACAGAAATAGCATGTTTCAACTGTTACAAGTATAGAGGTAAGAAACTCAGTGCTCTCAGGATTATGAGTATACTAATTGACTTGCAATTCTCCCAATTGATGTTGCTCCTCCTGATCTAGCCTGTAAGTCTTTTCTGATCTCAAAGAAATGTCTCCCTCAATGTGTGTAACCAACAAGAATCAATATTGCAGTATCCTAATAAAAGACATTCTTGGGACTATTTCCAACCAATTGATTAGGTAGTAAAGAAAAAATCTAAACATAAAGAAAAGTCAGTGCACCAAAATATCAACAATGGTTGAGAAAGCCTCTATACAACAACATCGACTTTGCAAAAAGTCATAATCCTATAAGTATAGAGACAGGACCTTCACATCTGTTCCTCCAGTGGGCATAAATTCCTCATATATGTATGAGCCTTCACGTCTAACTCTTCTTACTTCCGGATGAAACTCGCTCGACCTATTGCCAATCTGAAATAAGAATTGCAAGATTAATGCTTTGGATGGAAAAACAATGAATATCAAGAACTTTCCTAATTTTTGGCAGCTGAACATGAGAAGAAATTTTAAGTTATCTGCACACAAAACATGTTACATGATAAAAGGCTCATCAATCATGATGGGCAAATGCTACTTTTTCCCTTGTTTAAAAACGTATATCCTCGATTGTAATGATATCACTGCATGAACTGTACTTTTATGTTCGCATGACTGGATTGACTAAACTTTTTACTTTTTGCTAAATCTATCTTGCAGTTGACACACTTCGACTAAGCAAAAAGTTGCTTTTTGCTTTTGATTGGGCAGAAACAAGTGCACCCTAAGAAAAGCAACTAGCTCCAAGCTACTTTTTGTATATTTTAGATTATGAGAAGTATATTTCAGAATCCTATACGAAGAAAAAAAGTTAACCAGACATTTTTGAGAAAACCCACAGCAAGCCCCAACCTCATGACAGCTCTCTGAACTGATGCCTCTCTATGCTAATAGACCAGAGGCAGCTTGCATCCCCAAAGGAGTCACCAGGTCCTGGTAGCACTATAGCACCTGACGACTAAAAGAACACACACAGAAGGCTTCATTCCAATCTTTTCACCACAGAAAAGGACAACCGCCTAGAGAGGCCCAAAGTTCATTATAATGGTGGCATGTACTATGTGCAATCCAACATAAGAGAGCAACAAAAGGTTTCATCTGCATAAGTAACCAATAATAAATGCAGAAAGGCCTCATTTCAACTCGAGCTTCCAAACCTAGTGAATTGAGAAAAAACTGACTTTCACTAAGCAAAAAGTATATGCCCACCATACACCCTCGAACAAATCATGCCCAAACATAAGTTGGAAAATTAAAAATCACCTTCCTAAATAATTCCTTCATCCCCCCACCAGCTGAACTTGGATAGTATATCATGATGCTGTGATTGTCACCTTCAAAACAGAACCCCAGGACAGTAAAGAAAAACTCAGATGGCATAATCCGCACGATGCGCTGCAACATGGGAAACATGCACTCCCGGATGCTCTTCTTTTCAGTTATAATAATGTAAATCTAGCTAAACATGTAGATCCACAACGCGTATCCAGATTCTAAGGAAAAACGCTCGAGTATATCATTTTTAGTTGGGGAAAGTTAAAAAAACTGCAAAGAACTCGAGTAGGGGACATACTATTCTCTTCAGATTATCAGAATTTGTCCTCTCAAGTAAAGTAATAACCATATTATAGTTCAAATCAATGTCCCAGCCTTGTCAGTTTCACATGAGGAGAAGCTCAAATCAGAAATTGCATGAAATTTTAAATAAGTTAATCTATTTCAACTTTCTTCCTCAACACTAAAACCATTTCTCCAGGTGGCCACCGCTTCTCCAAATTTAAGGCAAGATACATCCTTATAAGAGGAGAAGATCGGTAACAAGGATATAATTGAGAGTAAGAGCCATGCGCTGAATATCCATAGGAAAAATGCAAGACAAACTACTCTCCTAGAATATGTAAGAAAGGTAACCCGGTCATCCAAAAAGAGCACTGTTGAGGATTCCCCTTAACAAGTGATTATATCATCCCAAAGTCAGCTTGATGTAAAGTGTTGTTATACGACCAGAATTGAGTGACAAGAACTCTTTGTTTCATGTGATCATCTACTAATGCACTAGATTTGAAGATTGCACGCAACTTCATTAGTCAGCCCCAACAAGAGGATAACTATGCGGCAGATTTAAGTTAATCATCTCACCATCAATAGGCTTTTCCACAAAAGGCTTCCAAAAACGGTCACCGCGAACCTCGACAAAATCTTCTTCCTCAACAAAATAATCCAACTCTTGGTATGGTACTTCCCTATTCACAAGAGCGTACCTTGGAACAGGAATTCCAAACATTTCGAGATGCTAAGATTCACCAACATAACTTGTTAGAGAGTACGAGCACATTAGTCGCAAAATATGGTACAAGAGAATGATAATTTTTGGATACTCTATTACGAATTCTTTGAGAAAAATGAAACTTCATCTCTGCAACTAATACAACACTTACCTCATATACCTTCCTTCGGTCATGAAGAAGGTGCTGTTGTTCCAGTTCATTTACCAAGTAAGGCCTGAATCACATGAAAAAATAAAACAGGATAAACTAATGAATCTGATATCACAAACTACAAAAAGCAGATGAGTAGTTTATAAATCAGGGTGGAGTAAACTAAATTAGCTAGCTGTTAGTTTTATCATCAACCTTTCACTGGCCAAGAAGAAAAAAGAGATAGTAAAACTACAAAAAGTAGATCAGTGGCATCCGAATCCCTACTGCTCCTAGAACAAGACTCTGGCTAGGGAACCACTTCCGTATCATATTGATGTCGAATGCAAAGTGCAATAGAATCACTGAGTGCACAAAGATCTCAAGAACTTTGACATGGAATACAGAGAAACTTTCAAGAATGTAGAGGGAAAGAAGAGGACATATCTTAAGGAGTAAAGTCCATAGAAGCACATGGAAACTGAATACATCTAAGATTTTGAGCACATAAACCAGACTTTCCAGCCATTGATATCCTCTGTCCATTTCTACTGGGTACTGACTGACAAAATTCATAGGTACAGGTACATTACCCATTTATCTTTACCTCCCATTCTGTTAAAAGGTATGTGTAGAATATAGACTGAACTAAAAAAACCCTGTCTGATTGAACTAAATTGATTGTTCCCATTTAGCAGTCCCATATGGAGGGAAAACAAAAGGCTCATTGTATCTCCATCTTGTCATGCACACATGCTCATTATCAAGCTATGGAAATGGTCATTAGATGGTAAGGAACAGCTTCCACACACTAGAGAAGTACTACATCATCAATCACGTCGATAGACATCCCAAGACTTGTCATTAAAATTTAAGCATTACGATTGTGAAAATTGAATTCGGTAGACGATAATTGGGACAAAGGACTAGCAGACAATATAAATGCCAACAGAAATTGAAATTGTCACTCAATGGAAAAACCCATGTATGCTTGGAATAGATACATTGCCTAGAATAAAAGAAGACTACTGAGGTGATCATAAACTTAGTGAGCTGGCTAGGAGACTGCAAACAACTATGGAACTACCGACCAACTGACATGTTCTGAAGATCTAAACCATGTTCTTCAATAAAAATATTGCAATCAAGCATTCCCTCATTCCATCCAAGATTTGTGATCTTCGTCAGGCTTGGAAAGTTTAATCTACAAAGCTAACCAAAATGCAAGTGTAATGGTTCGACCCACTTCCTATCCCCAAGAGAAGGAAACGTGGACCTCTTCAATAGGACCTGCAATGATGTAAGGCATTTTGAGGTTCCACTTCACAGCTAAGAACCTGAGACAAAATGCGCTTTTGGCAGTTTCCACTCCACTGGTTCTTTCTTTTACTAGTTAAAACTATGATGACATTCAACCAAATAACTACCGGAAATATGTAACATGAAGAAAAGGAAAAGAATCAAAAAGAAGTAAACTTACATCCTTAAAGCAACATATGCCTCTGCCTTGTCGAGGGGATATCCATTCGAATAAAAGGCAACTAAGCAATCACAAATCGGCCAGCTGAAAGATGCAATGATAACTTAGAGATACGAAGACCACACAGGTTTTCTAACATAGATCACACTGGTAGTAACTGCATCAAAATCAGAAAATGGCAAGTAATAAAAAAAGGATGGACACAATTTTTAACTCAATCCTGCACTACCACGTTATAGAGGACTAGAAGTGGACACAGCACCAGATCCTACCAATAAGGACCCCCAGAACAATCTTTTATATGAATAAATTTAATTGTCCAAAAGCACAACCAACAGAAACCTCTAGAACAATCATTTAAAATGATAAAACTATTAATTTGGAAACACCATAAGTTCAACCCTTATGAAGTTTCATTTCCAGGTCGTACGGAAAGGTTTTCCAGCAAGCATTTACATGCCTTCAGGGTGAGTCAACAGAGCAGAGTAGAGATTAAGTGCGACAAAACAAAAGAAACTAATTAAAAGAATAACTCCATTGCAAATAGGAACAACTCCAAGACATGAAGGAAGGGTTGTGCTTATGTTATACAGTTATCTAGTCAAGTAATGGATTACTTCTTAAGAAAGTCACCCCTAGTCACCAGAAAACCTCAAACTGAATCATACACTATCCTCCCTCTGATAATCATTGCTTTTTACTTAACCAGAAAAAGGTTAGAGTCCAACTAAGTGCATGATCTCATATATGTGCTCCTATTCTTTATTTCCCCAGAAACCACGCATGTAAGAAACAGACCTCAGCTATATCATGTTCCTAAACTGCAAGATACGCATATAGATTTTACATGAGCTACAACTCGGTCTTTAGCAATTGCAAACTACAGTAGTAATTCCAAGGCCTTGCAATGGAAAGAACAAAAGAGCAATGTGACCGTTAAGAATACTAGAGAAGAAGAACGAGACGAATGTCATGACATACGGGACACTTGAAACTGTAGAATCTGAATATATTATCACCAGAGGAGACACAAGTCACCAATTGATCTCGCATGTCATGACACGCAGCACACTCAAACTGCAGAATGTGCAGATTATATCACGACGCCGGTACCTCTCAATAGGATCTTCCAGGATGACGTTGTCCCCAAATATAATAATCTAAAGAGACACAAATCAGAGAAGCATTAGTGAAGAGCGTAGATTACATTCAGAGACATTAAAGTACCACGCACTGACCAATTCCACACAAGACAGTCTCATCCACAGCTACAAGAGACGCTTCACGATAATGAACTTCAGAAAAAGGAAATCGATAATGTCTATCATTCGCTGATGCCATAAGCGGAGAGAGAACAAGACATAATCAAAAACACAGTAGACAGATCACTCTCCATAAGAGGATTACTGGTTCCAATAGGTTATATCTAGCGATCTAGGCCATTGCTAAACGAACGTCACGACTGATGCTCCATTCGAAATCCCCCCGCACTTCAGCAACCAACATTTGCATGGGAGCCTAACCACATGAATCTTACAGCAAGTGGACAGTGATGAACACAGATTCCAAAGTGACCACTGATCACAACGCACCTCGAATTCGCCAAACGCTTGCAGCCTGTCCAGGATTTGTCTCATAGGCGACGAGAACACCTACCAAAAACACAACACACGCACACGCAAACAAAGGCGCGCGCGCGCGAAATGAGCGAACGCAAAGCCAACTCGTAACGTCCGACAATCTGAGCCGCATTCAGTCTCACCTTTTTCTGCATCACGCATACTCCGACCGTTATCTTCTTCTCCGCCGCCGCCGCCGCCATTCCCGAGCTCGCGAACCGCGCTGCACAACCGGCGAGAGAGAGAGAGAGAGACGCGCGCGCAACAATCAGAAAGCCGCGGCACCAGAGACGAGAAACAGAGAGCGAGCCCTCAGAGAGAGAGAGAGAGTTCGGCGCGCATGCCTACACATACTCGAGCCAGCCAGCCAGCCAGCCAGCCAGTCAGTGCGTAGGGGCGAGAGAGAGGGTGGGGGCCGAAGCCGCCGCGGAGCGCCGCCGGGGGAGGCGGAGCCGCGGGATTGGGGGAGGCGCGAGCACGGTACGCCGACTCGAGAGGAGGGAGGAGGAAGGAGGAGCGAGGAGCGCTTCGGCGGAGGGAGCTGAAATGGGAGAGCGTGAGATGAATGGCTGGGTTGGATTCTAGAATATGCAAAAAAAACATTTTAAGGAGGGAGTGGGGAGGGACGTGGAAAGGGGTATGCGAGTTTTGTGTCTGGATCGTTACGGTCCGTTTGCGGGTGTGGATTTTGATCTTTTTCAATTCTTTTTGGAAAAAAAAATTTGCTGCTGTTTAGTCCCTCCGGCTTTGGGATCAAGGTGGGCCCCCTCTTCTGTTCGTGACGTTAGAAAGGGCCGCAAAACTAGAACCAATTTGATTAAGAACCGGTATGCCCGAGTACCGCTAGAGTCCCAAAAAATGGTATGAGGATCGCTTCTGCCCTTTTTTTTTTTGTCTTTCTTTCTTTGTTTTGATGAGGTCGCGAATTAGATTAGCGTCGCGAGTGAATCCGTCTGTGTCGAGTTTCCCAATCGTGGCGGCATGTTTCAATGTGGGGAGAATTCCGACCTCTGCGTGGCGTGAAGTCGGGGGGTGTAATTATGGCTTAATTCGACCATTATGTAAGAAGCGTAGGATCTTTGCGGTAAAGGCTAGTGGACTCGGCGTGTCTTATGTGGAGAGACCTTCGTGTTACGAGTGTTACAAAATAGTCACGACTCAATCCGAACATTCTGTAGATAGCGTGATATCCTCATATATCGTTCGCTTATACCTAACTTTTAAATTTAAACACAAATTTTTATTGCGTTTACGAATGGCTTTCCCAAAGGCCTATAGAGAGTTTTTTGGGGGAAGTGCACTACATTTTCAATGTCCTCTAAAGACTCTTAGCTCAAGGCAGATCCGACCTAGCCTCCGGCTTTAGCATTTCTGGAAACTAATGCATTTTTTTTTCAAACTTTGCCATCGCTAAATTTTCGAAATGTCGGAAATGCCCTTGCCATTTTCCACCTCGGGCGATGTCGCCGGTGAGCCCAAATTAGTGAGCCAAATTTGACGTCAGGCGGAGGTTGCGTGACCTCAGCGAGGACCACTAGCGATCGTGCGACCCCAAGCGGCCCTCCCCGAGGTTGCGTTACCCTAGGTGGCCCTCGTCAGATGTTGCCCAAGCGACGACCAGCGGTGCCAAATCTTTTGCCAAATTTGGCTTGCCGGCGATCTTTCATTTATTTATTTAATATACATACCTAATTCCTTTACAAGTCTAGTTCTTTTCCAAATAGCGTTTAAACCAAAGTCGATCCCCAAATCACTTCTTACCAAATACTATTTACATTCGGAACAAGCCCTTTAACTCAAAAGGATCCAAACGCAGCCTAAGTGAAGTGAACCGAAATGTTTTTCCTCTCGACAGTCTCATACTTTTTTTGAATGCCTTTGGTCGAAAAGCGAGCACAAGCGAGAAGATTTGATTAGCCAAATTGACACTAAACGATGCTCCCGCCATAAACGCTGGTGGATTCACGATGTATCCGGGAATGTCTGTCCCTACCAAAACTAAAGAGCCTCTTTGATTCTATCTTCCTCTTTCTTCATTCCTTTTCGTTCCCTTTTTCTAAAGGAGGGCCCACCATCGGAATCTCGTTTCCCTTATATTAATGAAAACATGCAAGTGGGAGTTGGTCGGGTGGGGACGCGATCGAGAGGGGTCGACGACCCGAATCTTGGAGCAAATAATCTGCTGAACCGCGAACGAGACATTTGACCAATCATGACTTGGTAATAGTAGCGATCAGGACTGAGTTTAGATTCCATGTCGGTTGACGCCTTCCTGTTGGACGCACGGCTGAGAAAGAACGAACTGAGATTTCATTGGACTGGGGATGGGGATTGGACCACCCATGTTGTGACGAGTCGTATGGTGGGTGGACTGCTAGCCAATGGTTCTGTATGGCGACAGAGCTTTCGAAATCAGTCCCTTTCCTTGTGTTTGTCTTTTGGGCCTGCCCACAGCTTTTTTTATGGATAAAAGTTCTTTTTGGTTCCGTACAATCGCTTTTGGAATGTATGCCTTTGATTAGGGGGTTACGAGTCATTAGAACGTATTCCCTTAAACAAAACCGCACGAATGTTCCTAGTATTGAGATTTAGAATAGAATTGGAACCCTTTTGAGGGATGATTTGCTTGGAACTCACCTCGGTATATAAGTAATCGAGGGTTCAAAATCAATCTCTTTCTACTTATTAATTTTTTTTTAATCTTTTAAATTAGACCTCATTTGTGGACGGGATAAGCCTTATCTCTCACTTTCAATTTGACAAGTTGTTAAGGAATTGTATTTTGCTTGTCGAAAAAAAGTCACAAAAAGTCTCAAATTGTGATTTTTTCTTCGAAAAAAATTGTATTCATTACTCAATTATAGCAAAGCAAATTGAAGCAACGTAAAGCCTACAATACAACAAAACAAAAGCAAAATCCAGAAAATAATGAGGATCTACATAGCACCAGTATGGTTAAGTACACATTCATTCCAAAAGAATGAATCTGTCAAACAGAATAATCGATAGCCGATCATTGGACCTCGTATCATCATCAGTGATGAGCACACGCTGAAAATTCCTCCTCTAGTAACTACGGCGTTGCCAGTCGATAATGCGCACCTAGATTTGGCTTATTCTACATCATTGTTGTATAGAGACTACCAAAACAAATTGAACAAACACAGATATAACATTTGGAAGAGCAAATCTTCATGGTTCAGCGAGACGCCAGAGTTCTTGCAATCATCATTAAAGTTGGAGGGTACACGAAGAAAGCACGGGGTATTGAATCCTGAAAACATATTTATTGAACTCCCAAATCTAGATTAGGAGAGAATAGCTCCTAGATCTAGAACTAGATTGAGAGAATTCAAACTCTCAAATTTAGAATTAGACCAGGAGAAGAGAGCTTCGAGATCTAGATTGGAGAGAAGAAAGACAAAACAAAGTAAGAAAACATAAAAAAAAATCATGGCTAATTAAAAAAAAAAAGCATCAACTTTACTTTGAGTGACAATTTTGACTTGAATTTTTTTTTGTCTCAATAAAAGGCATCAATTTTTACTATAATCCTAAATCTAGCCCTTGTGATGTGAAATTTTCAAATTGTTCGGGTCAGATTTAGGATTTAAGTTAAAGTTGGTGATTTTTTTCGGGATAAAAAAAAGTTCGGGCCATAATTGTCAAAGTAAAGTTGATGGTTTTTTTGGAATTTGGCCACAATATCAACCCTCCCCCATGGCTTTATGTTAAAGAAGACATGGAGAGAGAAGAGAGAGAGGGAGAGAAAAAGACGTTTTGGATAGATTATTTTGGTTTCAAACTATGTTTACTATGATAAATTTACCCCGAACATTTTTTTTTACATAAAAACCTCAAAACTATGCCCACTGCGACTTTTTTTTTTTACAACAAAAATGCCAAATTTGTATCTATGTGACACATTCATCTTCTGTCAAGCTTTCATCAGATGATTTTGCGACCAAAACAACGTCGTTTTTATTTCAACTTAAACCACTTGGGCGCCAGTCAACATAGTTTGCTTTCCATCGTTTATGTAGGCAAATTTTTAATAATGCTTATTGACAGAGAGTAAATGTATCACACATGTACAAATTTGGTATTTTTGGTGTCAATTTTTTTTTTATCAATGTGTCGTAGTGGATATAGTTTGGGATTTGATGGCCTTTTCTTTTCTCCATTTTATGCACGTGTTTCGATGTTCAATCCTTCCCCCATCCGCCCCACTCCTTTCTCTTTGAATGTCAATGTTGATATAGTAGCCACACCAGCTACATCGTCTTTAAACTCTGCAACGACGTCAATTTCCCTTGCCATTTTCGGAAAAATACTAGTTAATATGCTTGAATTCTACATATGAGCTTGTATGCATTTCTTTTTCGAATTTATTTGGTATGTTGGCCCCATAAAAAATAATCACGCAAGTAAAGTTCAGGTGCAAACCCATAATTTGAGTAAATGAATTCATCCGATTAGTAAATGAGCGATCTCCATTTCATGACAGCTCGTGAAAAGAATACTCTACACCGCCAATATATCTTATACATATATATTTTTCATCTCGTTGAATGTATTCGTGTTGATACTTTAAAACGTAGCATACACCAATCTTAAAATAATGCTTTAGGAATGGTTTAGTGCATCATAATGACTTGTCTTCTCATCATGCCATGATCCAAGAAGTGCGATCCTGACAAATTTAATTTGTTTCAGCGACAAGGATTACTATCATCCCATGATTACATTAACATCATCCCTAGGTCGTCTTGACTTTTTATGTCCTGATTCAATGCATGTTGCTGTCAGCGAGGTAAAAAAACCCAGGCCTTTTGCCCTAGGTAAGAACGTGCAATATGCTAAAAGCTGAACGTGTGTTGTGTTATTCAATAACTGCTCAGAGATTTATCAGGTAACTGCTCCGAGATCGATATAAACTAACCCTCGAAATTATAAATAATTTACTAATAATGCCTGGATATAATCTGATCATCAGCTTTATTATATTCAAATAAATAGGGTATAATTTCAGGCGAAATAATATCAAAATTGTACAAAATTGTTTAATCTCTACATGCTCAAGAAGAGATAATTCCAAGTTCAAAAAAATCTCCCACTTTAATAGGATTCAAAAGTTTTACCAAGTCTTCACGATAATGCTTTACGATCAGCAGTGTTTGAACCGGCAAAGATCTCTGATAAGCTCCCCCATCTCCAACAGTCTTGAAAATCCTCTCGAGATCCATTTCTCCCTCTCCCTCTCCCTGGTGGAAATGAGCTCGAACGGAACATGACGATCAAAGGAGGGACGAGCCAGGCGTGCGCGGTGTGCAAGTTCCAGCGGCGGAAGTGCCACAAGGAGTGCCCCCTCGCCCCCTACTTCCCCGCTGACCAGCCGAAGATGTTCCAGAACGCGCACCGCCTCTTCGGCGTGAGCAACATCACCAAGATCCTCAAGCAGGCCCCGCCGGATCTCAAGCAGGAGGCGATGCAGTCGGTCGTGTTCGAGTCCAACATGCGCGCACAGTACCCCGTCCACGGTTGCTGCTGGTACATCCGCCGCCTCCTCTGCCAGCTGCACCAGGTGACCGAGGAGCTCCAGCACGTCAACACGCAGATCGCCGTGTGCCGGGACCAAGTCTCGGCCTCCGCCTCGCCTTCTCACTATCCTCCCCCGTCCGAACTGCAGCTGGGGAACGTGGTCCCGACCCGACAATCGTTCCCGGGCATTTTCGTGAACGGGGAAACTACGAAACAATCGTCAATATCTCAACAACCTTATAGCAACTATGAGCCCGAGAACACTGGTCACTTGGCGGTGGTTCAGCCGATCCCGGCTACTACATTACCGGAACTTCTAATGAATTACGGCGCGGAAGTGTTCAGCTACGAGGACGTGCCGTTCGATACGATCACGATCGATAAGGAGGAGTCGAGGTAGTGTCGAAACATCGGACTGACGGGCGATTGTATTGTGCTTCTTCTGTTCATGTGTTTGGAGTTCTGATGCGCTTGATCTGTCTCAAATGCAGCACGGAATCGTCGTTCTCGTTCAAAAACATGACGCACTCCATCGAGCACGCCTCGCGTAATGATCTGAAGAACGCAGCCGCAGGACTCAGCCTAAAGAGTGTCAGATAAGCTCGTTAGCGGCTGAAATTTCATGATTCTTTTCGTTCTTTCCATTCCTGTCTTATTTTTGAAATCTTTTTTCTTTCCGATTTTGCTTTGACGAGGGAAACTCATCAAGAAAAGTTTTCGCCTTCGACACGTTAAAAATAAGAGATGTCGATAGTTGAGAAATAAGGAACGTCGTTATTTCAGTCCGTCTCCCTTGTAAAGGTTATAATACTCTGTATCGTCTCTTTGTTAGCACAATTTCTTGTAAGTACTGGCCAAAGATCCGTGCGTTGTGTGGATTCGAAAATTTAGTTATATAAATTTCATTTAGGTAAATATAATATGGTACAGCAACATAAAATGCTGTACAAATGTTTCGTTAGACTATGATTTCATCTTTTATTTCAACACCATTAATCCAAACAGTGCCACTTATCCTAAAGTGTACATCCATGACACATTTAACAAGATTAATTTTCATCTCATAGAAAATCTCATACTGGTACACCTTACCCAAATTCACCCCACTGTTAAAATGTATACACTTCAGATTGCCATTCTCCATATTAAGCTCATCGTACAAGAACTCTTCCTCTAAATTGGGTGTCTTCACCCCTCCAGCTCCTTCGGGATATTTTGTTTTCGGAGACTTGTTCATTTTCATCATGTAGACCTCTTTTTATGAATGAATGAAAGTACCTCTTAAGACCAACAAAAAAAAAAAATCGTCTTGTAGTTGTCTGCCATATGTGTTGACATGTATACACATCTTAATGGGACAAAAATTGCCATGTACGGCACCAGCAAAGCATGCATGGGCTTCTTAACCACGTCAGGAGTTTTGTTAGGTGTTTTGCCGAAAGGACTGAAACAAACAAACACATGGTTTAAAGAATTCGATTGCACAGATTCAACGATGACATGACACAAATAAAAAATGTTCAGGAACTTCCTATGCCATTATCTTTTCTCCGATTAGACCCGCAATTAAAATTGACAACGAAGTCTCAGTTCCAACCTTTACAACCCATTTCATGGTAGTGAGATTCCATAAAAAGCACTCAGAATCTTAAGAGATGAGATGAATAAGTTCATTTATACCCATATTATATGAAAAGTTAATCTGTTTGACGGATGAATTTGTACGTCCATATGTAGTTTTATCAACAATAGGTTGGCTTCATCGCTGAAAGCATATCCATCGAGCGAAAGTGATTATGTGGTGATTGAAATTTAAAAACCGGGACAAGTGGATTAAACATAAAGACACCACTAATCTTCAAATTGTTGGAAAGATGTTCGATCAGATTTTTAATTCTTTTTGTTCGATTGGATCCATCAACTCCTAAGCTTATTTTCCCCCCAATTAAAATATGAATAAATAGATGACTGACTTCAAATTGTTGGAAAAATGTTCGATCAGATTTTTAATTCTTTTTGTTCGATTGGATCCTTCAACTCCTAAGCTTTTTGTTCCCCAATTAAAATATGAATAAATGGATGAACTGGATCAATCAATTTCGATATGAAATCAGAAAGGAAAAAAAAAAGAGAAAGATCAAGGAGAACAATAGTCCTTCCTACTCTGTACACTGCCCAAAACTTAGAAAGACTAATGAAATGTGGACATCCCATGTACTGTATAAAAGACATACCTTGAACTGTGACTTTGATTAGGCACTCCTTTTCGCCTTGGTTTGCACGTCTGTCATGCATACTTGTACCCACTGGTCTCACCTCAGATAGGGCGAGTTCCGACGTCGAGAGAGGTGATCAATGAACGGGCGGACTTGGGCTTCGGAATATTGCTAGGCCCATTGGTCCAATGGGAGCCCATAGTGTTGTCCCAGGTTCATCCATTACATAAAGAAAATGCAAAAAACAAAAGTGCTTAAAACATTGGGTTTGGCCGGGCTTCCTCAAAGAGACAATTCTCAAGCGAAGCAGGCGACAGTCGAGCCAAGTTGAGTTCACCGGACCGAAAATTGTCCGAACCATACCTAAAATGATGAGTGGGTAACTCGGAGCCGCAAATCCATTGGCAAATCTATTGATGTGCGCTAGCTCGGGTTGCATATTGCGAACGGAAGCTCAATGTGGATTATGCCACATAGAACGTGATGTAAGTACTTGGTAAAGTGGATAGCCATGCGATACCAATTTGATGATAATATTTGCAATTCGCTATAAACTCAGCACTATTTGCAATTTGATAATACCAACGTTATGGTTTTGTAGTTGCTTCCGAATGCCACAAGAATGGATCGCTGTTTGCCGCAACTAGCTAATGATTATCTATGTGACACTCTAGCATTAATTCATACTCTGGATTCTGGAAAAACTGTAGTATGAAATAAGTGCATGTGCATCCAATAAGGATCATCCTAGCAGATTGACTTTACATTGATCTCATGGAGTAGACATGATCAGATCTTTAATGCCTATATTGTAACGACTCAGTCTGACGAGGGCGGATAGTGGTCGTCGGGGCCAGAGGGCTTGGACAAGGAGTGATTCCTGACAGGCTTCTAGGATGATGAAGGGGCAGGAATGAACCGATTGCGTACCGACCAAGGAGAGAGCTTGCCTAGGATATATATGTGAAAATTGAACTTAAATCACGAATGCGTCTGTTAATGTAACAAGAGGCTTTGCTTCGTCATTCCAAAGTTAAGTGTGTCCAAGCTAGAGCACTACCGGGATAGATGACCTCCTGGGAAAGTGTTTACCTGTACGCCAAAGGACAAAATCGTGAGGTTCAAAATGGGATGAGTTAAAGCAAATAATATCTCGAGAGAGTTAATCCCTGGCGGCCAGGCTCCTTGTCCAAGCCCTTCGGCCCCGACGACCACTCTGCGCCCTCGTCGTCGAACCTGGCTGTTATATAAATACTTTTAGACCAGTGATGGACAAAACAATTACTCATAATCCATGACCACTACCCGGAAAATGGTGCTCTATATCAAGCGAGCAGCTTCGACGTGGTGCACCGGGAGAGCATGCATGGAAAGCTGCAACACTAAGAAATCGAAATCAGGGACGGATGATCAATAAACAGGATGGAAATAGTAAGAAGGAAAGGTCTTATAAAATGGTGTAAAAGAACACAGCGGGAGTGTTTTGACATGCATCATTCTGGGATCGGAGGGCGTCGTGTCACAAGAGGACGGCACTTGCCAAGAGCTCACAAAAGAGAGACGACTGACGCGGCATGTGCCGTCTCTCCTGCGACACGACTCCCTCAACCCCTTCCATTCGATCTCCCTCGTTGCCCCGCCCACTCTCACGCAATCTTTTTGCATAGCTTACATTCAGTGTCACGAGAAGACTCCATATTTATGGATCAAACGAAGCATTGAATCGTGTCGGTGGGCGTGATGAGGAGAGCTTGTGGGAAAGGGTTTGGTTAAGAATCAATAAAAGTGAAGTGTAAATTACGCTGAAGCAATTCGGGTACGTCCCCTTTGACGGGTTTCAAGTTGGTGGGAACGAGAATAATCTTTGGCAATCCACATGTTCAACAAGGTTGACCCAATCCCATTGGACATGGGCGTTCATACCTTGGAATTCCTTTCTCTTCTAGAGGGCCATGTGTCTTTTGGGAGTGGTTTATGGGAGAGCAAGAAGTCCAAGAAGACTGGCTAGCGTTTGGTGCCTGTCGCTTAATTACCAGCCAGTGTTGTTTTTTTTCTTTTTCCTTCTCGTTTTCTTTCAGCAATTTCATTGCAGTCAAATCGGTCAAAAAAATAGAACCATAAGACTCAGAAGACTTCGGTAATGGGGGGGACCCTGCCGGCTGGTCCACGGATTGAATGTAGGTGGAGAAATCACAAAAGTTAATCACACGGTTTAGTATCAATTTCTCCGGCACCTAGACTATATTGTTAATTAATATCATCGTTATTTTTTTGGACTAGGTCAAATCAAGAGAATTAGAGGCGAAAATTGTCTAAAAAGTCATAAACCTAACGCACTTTTGCCAATTCAGTTATAAACCTTTTAACTTTGCCAATTGCTTCCTAAACCTTTTCATTTCTTATCAATTGAGTCCATCCGGTCAACTTTGACCGGAAATCGCTGACGTGGATATTTTTTTTATATAATATTTTGATAACTTCTGAATTTTTTTAATATTTTTTCTTCTTCTTTTTTCCTTTTCTCTGTTGTTTTTTTTTTTTTTTCTGGATTTTGAAGCTAGGGCCGCGACACCATCGCCTAGATCTGGCTAGGTGAGGTCCTCGCCGGCCCCAAGTGAGGGCGTGGGGCCGGCGAGGCTGCCAAGTGACTTGCCTGGGGTCGGCGAGGGCCGCCAAGCCCTCGCCTAGCCAGATCTGGGTGAGGCGTCGCGGCGCTCGCCTGGCGAAGGTCGGCCGGCCACCTTCGCCGGCCCTAACTTCAAAACCCACAAAAAAAATAGAGAAAAGAAAAGAAAACATAAAAAAAGTTTAGAAATTATTAAAATAATATATAAAAATATCCACGTCAGCGATTTCCATCCAAAATTGGTTGGATTGATTCAATTGGCAAGAAATGAAAAGGTTTAGTACTTAATTGGCAAAGTTAAAAGATTTAGGACTGAATTGGTAAAAGTGTAATGTTTATGACTTTTTCGATAATTTTTTCGAATTAGAGTATGTTCGAGTTTTTCTGGACTTTAATCGAGTGGGAACTTGACTGGAAGGGGGCTATTTCTCTGACCACTAGATCTTCGAAAGCGATGTACAGATGGAGACAATCAATGCATCCTTCCAATGAATAACCATGAATTAGAGTTGGCGAACTTTCTTAATTTCTGGTGCTTCTCGTGGTGTGGAATGCGTGTTACCTGGATGCAACTTCTGTGCCTTTGCCTCGGAATTTCCTGGCAAAACGTTGGTATGTAACTCGTTTCAACGACATCCGGACTTAAAGACCCCGTTAAAGTTGCACCTTGACAATCATAGCATAGTTTTTCCTTGTATACTAAGGAAATAAAGTCTCAGAGATCTCTAGGAAGTTTCGTGTCAATTTGGCAGGCAAAATCCCACCACTAAACCATGCCCTCTCTCCTTATCATTGTTCCTTTTGTCATTGGTCACATTCTCATTGGCACTCGAGAAGGGTTTATGTGATGTTACATTCTGCTTCATATAACAATGCTAAGCTTTACATCCACCTACCGGTTGATGCTTTTGGAGACATCGATAGGGGTCTCGCAAAAATATTACATAGCTTAGAAAATGAATCGCCGCGTTAATCTTTATTGGAACTCTTCTTTGCCTCGTTTCA